CTCTCTAGTCAAGCTAATCTACAACGACGTTCGGAGGTCAACAAAACCCATAGTGTCATGCTCCCCATGAACACCACCATCATCATACTGTGCGCGTCCGCACTCATCGTCTCTAGAGAAGTATCCCTGTACTTATGAACATACAATATGCATGAGGTCTCTCTAAATTTCATATTGTTGTCTCTTCTGACACAGCCCTCTAGTCTCATCTCTTTGCTACATTAAGTAACACATGCTCGTTGGATATTTATATTAATATCATTTTTATGCTCTTATGATTGTGTCTTATGTCGGTCTATCGACATAATGCAATATGACACTCATCACTATATAACATGCTTAATATGGAAAACATCAACATATTAAGAAAAAAGTCATGCAATCATCATAATTATCATATTTTCATAAAATGCATCAAGCATATCAAGTACGACATTCATCAAAATATATATTTACACACATCATCAAGCATCATAACTCAAGGATCATAGTTCATATATCATCATAACTCTACATCACCATATACTCATACACCATCATATACTAGTATACGGCATCCTACCATACAACTTATACATCATCATAACTCATATATCATAAATTGTAACGCATACAATTTCTAGTCTTATCCGATAGTAACGCCACTTATTTGATTGACTTTGGCCAAAGTTTTATCTAACTCCAAATTTGGTTGCTTTCATCTTTGGAATTAGTTTTCACTTATTTTCAATCCATTCTGATTTTCTTTTCTTTTCTAAAAATGGTATACTATTTATTAAATTCATAACTTTGCAATTTACTTGTAAATGGTATATAATTTACGGAAGTCATGGCTATACAATGGGTACCTTAAGGGTTATTGTTATTTGATTTCTGACTAAAATGTAAATAAGGTAACAAAATCAAAATAAAAGAAAAGGAGAGATTTAACTAATGGTAACCAAGAAAATCTAGATAAGGTAATAAAATCACAATAAGAGAAAAAGGAAACATTTTACTGACTTACTATGACAAATTCCTCTGTCCAACCTTCTCTGTTAAATCTGCTTAAAACCATTTTTGTTTATTGTTTGTTTTTTTTTTTTTTTTTTTTTTTTT